GAGAGAGAGAGAGAGAAAAATGTAAGAAAGTTTTTTAACTTCATTGATTTATGCAGATTTCTATACACACATCAAACTTTACCGTTCTACCCAATTGCATAAAAAAATCGGCGGAAGTGACTATCGACCTACTGCCAGTATGGAAAGCAAGGAGTTAATATACCCGGGTAGTGTCGTGAAAAATGGGGTTAAAGATGCATATAATATCGATTCAGATTTGTGTTATGAACAATCGCAATCGTATAATTGGTCATGGCCACAAGTTTCTAAGAAAAATAATAAGTGCAATAAAAATAATATGGTATAATATGACACGTGTCGATACCGTGTGTTAAATTACTATTTGCACATATCGCGATGCATATCACCCTTTTGCGAGTTATTCAATACAGTAATAGGTCAATGCAGATCGTGAAAATCGTTTATAAGAGCTGCGTTAATTTAATTAGTTCTACAAACATGACAATTCCTGTGTACAAATTGCTTGACGCGATATATCTACTAACGCGTTTGAGATACTTGTATATAAATCTTTGCATATATCATAGTATATTTATCGTTTAATCACATTTATGTACTTTTGTTCAATCACTAATTTTTCCTATTATTTGGAATATGACAAGTTTGATTATCTTTTCTTGGACGGGTAAAAATATACAGTAGGAAAAAATGTCATTATGATATGCAAATGTTTAAAGCTTCGAAATGTCATATGCAAATTTTTAAATATAATTAATAAAATAATGTCATATGTATCTTCAGATTCTACGCAAAATTTTCATAATATTGACATTAATTTTTAAAATAGAGCATTTACTTGAAATTAATCGAATAATAAGATTTCATTAGCAATTTATATTTTTTGACAGTTTTAATTTGCTGAAACGTTTTTACATTCAGTATGCAGCATTGACTTCATTAAGCCACTGTGCAATATCTTGTCAAAGCAGTGCCAATTGCAAATTATCACAAACAATCGCGTTATCACAAGCGTAAATCGTATGATCACGTAGAAAATTCGATTAGGTCGACGTCAAATCGAAAGGCAAACGACTGGGAATGATTTGTTGCACAAACAGCTCGCTCATTCGACGGTCCTATTAAAACTAGTGGAAACGCGCGATCCGACAAACTTTAGGAGCAAGCAAAAATTCTACCGAAGGTTTCGACCGATCAAATCAATAATCACACCGACATTGGTACATTGAAAGGCAAATTAATAATCGACAGGCTAGTTTAATGATTAAAGAAGATTAGTTTATTGATTAAAACTTTGCACTGTGAATAGCATATTTTATACCATTTTAAGACAAATAAATTGACTTAAATAACAATAAAAATAATTTATCAAAACCGAAAAACGACTTAAAATATTATTGATTAATCGGAAGATATTCTGAACTATCAATACATAACAAGCTCCTAATTTACAAGTGCTAAAATGGTATGGACTTATGGCATCCAGCCAGGAATGTACGAAGAAAAGTAATATGTTAATGATACAGCGATTTCAAGATATTGCGAAATATCGTTAATGCATCATATATTAGAAATGAGAACATCCACAAAGATCTCAAAATAGCTCAAGAAATTAGACGATTCGCGAGGAAACATGAAGAAAGGCTTCGCCAACATCAAAATAGAGATGATACAACTTCTGGACAACAGTAAATTAAATTCGGCGGTTAAACAGAAACCGTCCGAGTTAGTGTGAAATAATAGGACAAAGCGGAACTAACACAAGAACGAAGTGTTAAGTTAAAATTCCGAAGTACTCCGCTGGGAGTGCATCCATCACAAAGCGTAGCAAGTCATTAGAGATAAATTGTTAGATAAACTCTGTCCAGTCACAATTGTATAACCTAATAGATTTAATAAAAAAAAATATGAACATTTTCTGTGCCATTAACATTTGATTTGATTATGTAACATAGAACAAATTTATTCGATTATCTTATTTGGCAATCTTGTATTGCACTCTTTGCGATTGTAATCTACCGTGGAAAATGGACTATACGTGCACACGTGTTCTTTTAAGATAGCAGGTTGTCAGTTGTGTTACACCATTTCAGCGCAATATTTCTTCCCACAATCTCACACGCGGAACAATAACTGATGATAGCATGAGATTCTCGCACGCATAAAAAAACGTTCTTTCTCTCATTACTTCTGTCTATCAAAATGTTAAGCAAGAATAAGAATCAAAATAAGCAGAGTATATTTTGACGAATGTACTTGAATAAAATTGCTCTGACATTATCAACTTAATTGAAAGTGAAATTCTATTATGTGTAAGAAGCTCCTTTTAGCATATTCATTTATGAATTTACAATACAACAATGGTCAACACAATAGTGGCTTTATTTTCTTAAATTTAAAATAAAAAATATTTAAAATAATTTAACATAAACAAAATTACATTTATAAATCAATGTGCAGATTAATAATTTCCTACAATCTTTGCGACTTCTAGATATTCCACACGTTTAAATAATAGCTTTATCATTTTCGCAAATTTTAGCAGACAACGGAGCGAACGATTCGCAAGAAATCGGTATTCACAATGAATACCGGTAGTCACAACGGACACCTCAGTCTAAAGCTATCGCAGTCGTGACCGTCTGCTCCTGATGATATATCCCGTGAGATACGTCGGAAACTTGCCAATCACTATTCGGGGATTTGCGACGTCCCCGAAGTGACCTCGCGGTAGCTCATACAAAATCGTTCTAAGCCATGACATCGCCCGCTGTAGTGCATCCTCCGGTCAAAGATCCGTGATCGCACTCGTCGCGACGGATTTGCATAATATGGAACGAGAGAGTGGAAGAGAAAAAGAGAGAATTGCAATCCCGTGGCATACACCTCACGTGGCACTTGAAGGACATGCACATGTCTTCAACATGATCAAAATTCAACGCACGAAATACGATTACAAATCCCTGCAATCTTTTTGCAAATTGAAGTTTAAAAAAAAAAAACGGTAAATTTAATAAACTGATATTGCGTAAATTATCATGTGCAATGCGCGAATTCAAATACTTTTCTTTCCAACTGTTCGTAAAATTTACGTCAAATTTCAGGATTAAAGTTTTATTTTTTTCAATTTAAAAACAATCTTTATTTTTTATGAAAATATAAAGTAAGTCGTAATTGTGGAGCTGTTCAATACTGAAAATTGAATGGTTTTAAAAAGTTGAATTTCAAGAATGTCATCATCGTCTTAAATGCATCATCCACTTGAGATAAAATCATATTTCTCGTCAGCCCGCTGCTGACAAGCTTTATGACATACACGGCCAAAAGCGATGATTTTGGGATATTCACGTGCTCATGAGTGCGAAATAAAGGATGTCATGAAGATTATAGTGGTGTAAGCAGACCGTAAGGATGTCGATCAAATTTTTATCGACTTTCTCGTCATACTTTGCTTTGCACATAACCCGCGCACTACACAAATAATTTTTTCGTGAAACATTATTCAATAAATATTAGTCAATAAATTTATATAAAATCAAATTTGAAAACGCGCCTTCGCAACTAATTATTTTATTAACATCTGCGCATTGAAAATTATAATTAAAGAAATTAGCATAGCAACGGTGAATCTCTAAATGATATTAGAATATATTAATTATATATTATACGATATATCTAAATATACATAATATTGTATAATATTCAATAATATAATATTCTACCGCGGATTTTCTATCGCGAGATTATGGATTATCTGAATCGAGCTTCAGATTTTTCACCCGCTTTTCTCGTCTAGCACTTTACAATTGCACTGCAACAAAACATTCGACGCGCATTTTACGTTAACACCGTAACACATGAAAAAAGAACGAACAGTGAAACATGTAACGAACGTATAGGTAGACAAAACGAGCTTCAATCGCTTTCCATATCCGCCTCGGAATAACGCAACGGGAAAAGTCCGTCGATGCGAATCGCTGTTGACCAATAAACACCACTGTCAACCGGCAGTCATGACATTTTTTTGAGCTCAGCAAGGCGCGATCGGAGCGGAAAACGTGAGTGTTAGAAGTGCGCGCAGTGAAATCCGACAGAATTTCGCCTGGCTTCCTCCGACGTTGCG